CCCCGCCGCCCCGCCCTCCGCAGGTTCAGGGCGCTCGTCCCGCAGCCGCGCTCTCAGTCCGGCTCGCACCTTCTCTCCTCTGCCCGGCCCCGCGGTGCGCAGCGGGCCGAACCGATCAGAGAGACCGCCGGAGACCCGGACGCCGACCTGAAGCGTCTTCGTGTGGTCCCCGCGCGGATAACGCCGGGAGCACGCGCCGCGCCTGGATCTGCGCGCCACCGGCACGGACTGCGTGCGCCCGCGGGAGGCGCCGGTGCCCGGCCCCGGGGCTGGGGCTGTGCTGCGGCTGGGGTCCTCGGCGGCTGTGGGTAAGTCGGTGCCCGCCCAGACCTCTCGTCTACCTGCGCGCCTGTCCGCGCCGCCGGGGGGGCGGCGGAGGGGATGGCTTCCAGCGCTTGGTCGCGAAAGGCTTGGGAACCTCGGCGGGCGCGAGGAGACCCGGGCGCCGCCTGCTCGGCGGGGGTGCGGAGGGCCTTGGGGCTGTAAATGCCGCCGGGGGCAGGGGGGGGGTCGGGCGGCCCACGCGGAACGTAGAGCCTCCCCGCCCCCCCCCGCGTTGTTCCCCACCGCTTTTCAGGGTGGGACTGCGCGGCTGCACTGCCCCCCTTGGAACGGCTGACAGCCATTCCTGGACGCCCATCGCGTGTTTCCATCCGCGAACGAGCAGCACTGAGCTGCCGCGCCCCTCCCGTTGTATATTTGCACCCGGATGGCACATGGGGTGTACCCTGCACATCTGTGGTGGCAGCTACCCCCGTCCCCACCCTTGGGTGCCCTCTCCACGGGCGACACGGAGGCGAGGCTGCCAACCTACAGATCTGGCCGTTGCATTGCTTTTGTGGTTTCTTAACAGCTGAGCGTTTACAAGATTCCCCCCCTCCCCTTTCTTAGCAACTGTCTTGACATAGACGGGTATTAGACACAGGAGGAGGAATGGATTTGGCCATTCTTCTTCTTCTTTTTTATTTTTATGAATTACTATACTCCACCCCCTCCTCTCGCCTTTGAGAGGCATGTGTTTCATCTTATAAATAGAAAGTAGCATATTTTTTTGGCAGGACCTCCTTTATACTGTACCATCTAGGAGAGGTCAGTTTAAAAATAAATACGCACTTGAATGATACATTACTGAGCCGGGTTGGAGCTGGGACAAGCCGCGTGGATAGCATCATCAAAGCCCAGAGCACAGCTGTGTTGAAAGGAGTAAAAGCCCCAGAGTGGGCTCCGGCCAACACAGTCAAGTAATTACATTTTGTCTTTAAAAAATAAAAGTGAGTAGATTAAAATGAGGGTGGGAAAAGGAATGTCAGGAGGATTTAGAACATGAATCTTTCCAGCCCTGATGTATTTAGGGGAGTGGGCTGCTGCTGTGTTCCCAGTGTGCTGGGTGCTTTGGGAAGGAAACCGATGGACGTGTTAGGGAGACAAAGGTTCCTTCTCCAACTTGCAGCTCTTAGCTTCACAGTGAAGTTTTTGGCTGGGAGAGAGCTGAAGTACCGTTTTGGGTTTTTGTTTTTGTTTTTTTCTTAAGTACAAAAATTAGGAGGGGAGCAGATAACCCGATTTTAACAGCAAAGCCAGTTTGGGGATTTCCTCCCATAAAATAAAAGGCTAGCCAGGAAGCAGCAGAATGCCTTAAACTGAGTCAGCTGAAAAGTCTAAAATACAGCTTCTCTTCTCTTCTGGATAGTTCCAGAAGTCTTCTCTTTGACATCACCTGTAGTGCAGAGGGGTTGAGAATGAACTCCTTGGATATGTGTGTGACACAGACTCTTTAGAGCAAAGCACTCAGAAACAAGGGGAGGGGGCAGTTTGTGGATTATACAGCGCCATCTCATGTAAAACAAATGATACATCTTTCTGTAGTCAGAGGATGGTTGAAAATCTCTTTTCAAGGCTTCCAAAAAAGCATAGATTTCCCAATAGGCTTAACCCATGGCAGAAAACAGGACTACCTCCCTCCCCCCCCCTCCCGCCTCCACCCCCCTCAAGGCTCACAGATAAGAACTTCAGAGAAGTTTGGAAGCCTCCAGGGATTTCTGGCAATTTCTATTTTCCAGTGGTGTCATCTGCTAGAGATTTACACTATGAATTCCATGACTAGAACACAGTGCTAAGGGCGCCATGCCCCTGCAGACATGCAATAAGAGGAGCTCCCCTCTCTTAATCTGAGCCTGAAATTCTGTTCATAGAAAGGCAGCTAGAGTAGTGTTTCCTTTCCCCTTTCTATGTTTTTTCCCCTTCTTATTGTAAAGTTAAATGTGGTGTGAGACACCTAAATAGAAAGCCTGAACAATGATTGCAGAAGGGCTCTCCCCCAAGCTGGTTTGCCCTGTCTGCTCTCCAGCTTTTCCTTTAATGTGGTAGTTTGTTTTATGTCCAACATATTCACAAAAGCTGCCCGTTTCCACTTGTAAAATTCCTAGTATTCAACAGCATTGAGAGTAAGTAAAGTCACTTTAACCTGTATCACCCAGAGATTTTTTTTTTAACCAAGCCATAACATTTTTACAAGCTGTGTGCCCATTAGCTATAGCATGTATCCAGTGGGTAGAATACAATTCTCAAATCTAAACAGTCTCCACAAAGGCTGCTGTGACTTACTCTGTTTTATTTTTGCACTTTTAAAGTATATATGTTCTTGCTTTCGGTCTGATTTTATATAGGCCTAGGTCAATTTCTTTCTAACTAGAATATGGTTTTCTTCTAATTGATTGAATAAGAACTTAACATCTATTTTTAAATATGCACTATGTTTGCCAGAGAACAAGTATAGTTACTTGAAACTAGTGGATTCAGCCAGCCACAAAATCTCTCCCGAGCATGGAAGCCTGAGAATTGTTCAAGTATTCATTACTCCTGATGTAACAAATACTTTGGCCTGAAGTCTGAACTGAGTGCTCAGTGGTTTCTACCAATTATTCTATGAAAGAAGACTTGTTCATAACTCATCTTGTAGGTGTGGAGACTGAGGGCACACCAAGTTGTATTAGATGCCCAAATTAAGAAAGTAAATACCTAAATTTGTATATGCAGAATACTGAAGCTTCTGAAGTCAGCAGTTATTTGAGTGAAGGAGGGAAAAAAAATACTTTGAAGTTATTAAGTCCCTGGGTCAGACTAGCCTTATTCTAGGACTAATGCTTGTGTGACTTTGAGCAAGTGACTTTAACCTGTGTATTTCAGTTTGTCCATTGTAACATGCAGTGGCAGTGTTACCCTGAGTATTCAAGCAGTTGAACAATGTCATACTCATTATTATCATGCCTGCTCCCAATAGGCTTGATATATGGTTGATATTATCAGTGTTGCTTGGTTTTGGTAGGTACTGAACACTGGTCCTCTCATTTAACATTTGTAACTTTGCTTTGAAATGCATGGGAACGCCCTTCTCTTCCACAGGAGAACACACATGCACAACAGTTTAGTAACTTCGTGAGGATCACACAGCTCAGTAAGTAGTGGTAGCAGGGTTTGAACTCAGATCTGTTTCACTTTTCTCTAATGCCACACCCTCATGACTTGGAAGGAGGGATTGGAAAGCTATTAAGTCTCATTATTGTTATGGCTTTTGGCCTCTGGCAAGGAACTCATTTGTATAACTCTGTGAAGCAGTATCACCACCCAAAGGAAGATAACAGTAATTGCCACCCTTAGAGAATACAGTACGAATTATTTAATAACTAACATTGGCTTGGTCCTACATGGATGGTAGTAACCTTCTTCTACAGTGAATCCAGCATGAAACTGCTTGAGTTAACATAAGCAGTTTAATTTAGACCGAGAGATTACTAGGTACAAATATGGATCTCTGAAAGGGGAAAGAATGACATGCCACCACCAAAGAGAAAGCATTTCAGAGGCCAGGGATGTTGTAGAACTCTCATTATATCCTGTGTCCATAAGGCCTGGCCCGAAGTCCCTGACAACAACTATTACCCAGTGGAGAGAAAGGCAAGAACCACAAAGAGGCAGCACAGGAAGGCCTTGGGCTCTGTCCTTGCTGTATGGGGCCAGTAACAGTTCTGCACATGCCCTGGATACTGCTAGATAAACTTCTGGTGTGAAAGATAAAGCAAGAAGGACTTAGATACATAGAGAGTGTATGTGTGCACTCAAGACAGCCTGCCAAGCCTTCACTGGGAAGTCACCCAGGAGCTGCTCAAACTGTTCAGAATAGCTCAGGAACCATTCAGAATAGCTCAGGTTGCCTCAAAACCAGAGGTGACAGCCCTGGAGCTGTCCAACTCCTTTGGAACCTTCTCTTCTCTGTTCCTGCCTCCTCCTTTTAAACCACAAAACAGAACAATACTCACAAGAAAGAAAGTAGCCAAGTAGTTCTACAGCAGTAGTTTGAGAGCTCTCCCTTAAAATAATAATAATACAGCAAAAATAAAAACAAAAACCTTTAGCCTGGTGGATTATTTCAATGCCAACTTCAACCAGAGCTGAATAATAAACTTTGACAATGCCTTTGGTGGAAAAGCAGTTTTAAAAATTTAATCATACAGTTTTGTAATAGGAAGCATAGCATTGATATTGAAAAGTGACTTATTTCTGGATTTGAGTTTTTTGTTTGTTCTGCAGGGCTTTTATAGTTCAGGCTGGCCTTAAACTCTCAACCTTTTTTTTATCTCAGTCTTCTGAGTACTGGAGTTACAAATGTAGACCACCATGCTTGGGGGATGAAGAGACTCTTTCTAAGTCATCTAGTGAACTGTGAAAATTGGTGAGCTCCAAACTAGTGTTTGCTTAGTCGTTACTGTTTGCTTGTCATTAGTTAATAGTAGTTAATTAGAATCCCAAATTTAAAAGTAAAAGAAGAAAGGATTTTTCAGTGCTTTTGGAAATGTTTGCACATTTTAAAAAGTTAGGAGTGATCATATACCAATAGCTAGCGAATATGACTGCCTATACATGCACACTGAAAACTGAATCACCTCAGGAAATGGTTCTGAGGGAAATGATTTGGATGAAGATCCCCATCTGCAGGACAGGGAGTTACCATAACAGTGTTCACAGTGAGTCTCTATATAGAGATCGGGTCCAGAGTATCTTCACAGAGCAGCTACAGGACTGGTCTGAAGAAGATATACTCTAGTACATAAAAGAAGCTACATACTACAGTATATCTTAGCATCACTGGAACACAAGACATCCTTGTCAACCAAAAATGGTTGGTACAGGTATAGAACTAGAAGAGCATACCAGAAGATGTTGGCTGAGCTGGAGGCATGGCTCAAGTGGTAGAGAACCAGCTGTGAGCAAGAAGATGCCAACAAAGGTCTAGTGGTGCTGTGATAGGGAC